CGGAATCGCTCCGAAAATTATGATATCCGGGGAGCCCAGATCCGGATAAGGATAGCAAAATCTAGGATTCGTGAAAAGAGGATCCGGATAACAAAATTTTAAGGTCCGGATATCCGGATCCGGATCTGGACGCATTAAATATATTGAAAACATATATATTATATATCTATTAAGCTAATTTTATATAAATAAATATATATATAAATTGATTTTAGTGTTTTTATAATAAATTATATTTATAATGAAAAATATCATTTAAAATATTAATAATTTTTAAAAATATATTTTTATTTATTTATTAATTATTTTAATTATTTTTAATATTAATTTCGGATCCGAATCTGGATCCGGTTTTTTTGGCCGGATATCCACATTCCGGATATCCGGAGATCCCGATTCTGGATCCGGATAGATTTTTTCACGGATCCGGATACTTTGAAATTCCAGGATATCCGGATCCGTTCCACCTCTAATCGAAGTACCTTGAGAGTAGGGGCGGATCTATAAGGAAGTGTGGCACGTGTCCCATACTGATTTTAGGAAAACATTAGTTAGCCATTATATGTGTTGATTTGGATGCCCATCCTCTCTATTAAAAATCTAGGAAAACAAGTCAGAATAGCTAATGAGTATTTGATACTTCATCTTTGTTTCATCTTCTTCCATATTAATTAAATCTATTTCTTTGACCAAAGAATTAAATCTATCATAAACACATTTACAAATCTACTAAATTATTGATTTGTTTTCTGTATATAAAAAATATTTCAGAATCTACTTTTTATATAAAACTATTTTCTGATAAAATGTATTGTTGAATTTCTTATATATGTAAAAATATCTAAAAGTCAATAGAAAATGGTTCTGTTTAACAATTTTTAGTTTTTTAGAGATTTAAAATTTCCTATGTATTTTAATATTTTTCGTATTAAATTTTATTTGTGCCGCTTACAAAAATAATTTATGGATCCACCACTGCCTGAGAGTTGCTAAATCTTCTATAGACAAATGGTTATACAAGAGCATCTACAAACGAATAAGAACAACCTTTTGCTAAAACTAAACATCAGCATCATAATTTGTTGCGAGTAGGTTGTACCACTCGAAACTATATCTACCGGCATTGACAAGCCGAGTAGCAGAATGATGACGGTGACACACCATGACATTGAACCCTCGGTACCTCAGCTTCTTCCCCGGAGTTGCAAAATCAGAGTCTCCTGATATTATCATCATATTGTGTGGCTTCTGGACATCCACTGCATAAAATATCATGTGCTGGATTATTGCTGAATCAGCTAAATCCGTTATCCTACTGTAAACATTTGAGACAAAAAAAAAATGTCATTCACAAAATAATAAACTAACGGTTATAATTTGATTTGATGTTGGGAGGAGACTTACTTCCAGTACAAATTCTGAACATAATGCAATTGCAAT